TTAGAGACACTGGCTGTGTTTATAATACTCTCTCACTTTTTTCTAAGAACCTTGATATTATTATATTAAAGTCTTCAAATTCAAATGCAGATCTCTGCTTACAATATCAGTTTCACTGAGATTTCATGATTCACAAAGAAGCTGTTACTCAATAACTAATCTATCTCTGGAAAAACCATTCTGATTATCAGAATATTGTGATTGATAAAGAGGCTTGAAATCAGTTATCTGAAAATGAAGATGTCTCTGATCAGATTTCTTTTCATGAGCTTGATAAGCAAGAATTGACAGTCATTGAGAATGAGAATCATTTAAATCTTGACAACTTGAATATCTCATCTGAATACTCTGATGTTCCAGATCTTTTGATCTTACAGTCTGAAGTTAAGCAACTCTGTCATGAACTTGAAATGTCATAGTGAGAACAGATTGATCATCTCACTCTGTCTTCAGTCTGTAATACATCACTTAGTGAGTTTAACAACACTCACTCACTCTTTTCTTAAGCCTTTTCAACACTTTTTTCATGAGGTGAAGCTGAATTCATTCTCTCTAGACAAAGAATAATTAGTCTTGCAGATTACACACAGTTTCTTCTTAAATATCATGACAGCTGCTTTGTCTGTCATAGCTGTTTTCAATATGTTCTTTTCAATTCTCTATTCCACAGACAGATTAATAATCAGAGCTACTTTTTCTACAATTAAACTAACTCTCTTATTAAGAATCTCACTCTAGAGAAGCTGCAGGCTGCTTTTGCTACTGATACTTCACAATCTATTGTGATTTTGAATTCACTTACACAGTTTGCAGAGAGTCTTCATAGAACTTATTCTTTTTAAGATGTAAAACATCATCAGCTACAAGTCTATATTTGAAATATTGAATCTCTGCATCTATTTCTTACTCTCTTGACTGCAGATCATCACTGAAATGATCTGATATGCCACTTTTCTGACTATATTATTTGAAAGCACAGCACTGACCTTGAGAGATTGAAGTTTGTAAGAGATAGTATTTATGACTATTCTGCTATAGTTGTACATTACTTTCATCTACAACTTGCAATCTTCAAGGAAAAGATTCTAGACCTGAAATTCAAAATCCTAGATCACTGAACTTGTTATGAGTGGCAAGACTGCAGATCAGTGCACTCACATAGTGTATTTTAATGTAAGAATGCACTGAATCCTGAACTTGATATGAATGAAGACTTTCATCAAGCCTTTGCTGACTACTGAGGCCTCATTATTACAGCTGAGAATTCTGAGTCTAATCACACTCAGTCTGAAGATGCATGATCATCTATTTCCCTCAGTCATTCTGATCAGATGAATATCATTGAACATTTATCTACAGTTCTTAATCATGTTCAATATCATCACTGTAGTGAAAAGTACTGCATTCATAAATATCAGATCACTGACAATCTACATTACTGATTTTACTTCCTGCATGAATGCTGGACTGACTGTGCTATTCTCAAACCTTTAAATAGTAGATATTACCGGCTGCACCTCTGTTATAACAACTCAATTCTCAATAACTACAACAGATTGATTACAGTTAGCTGGCTAGTAAATACTGACATTGTTTCCTGCACTGGCAGCTGTGCCATTCTTGATTATCTGTCTAAGTACATTGCCAAGGCTGAAACAGACACAGAATCCTATCATCAGATTATTCAATAAGTGATTTCAAGAGTCAGTTCAAGTCACTCACTGCTCTCTACAGTTGTTAAACTTATGAATCAGCTCATTGACAAGTGTGATTAATCTGCTTAGAAGATTTATCATCTTCTTTTAAATCTTTCTTTACAAATGAGTTCTCGCGAGTCAATTACAGTTGATTGTCAGCTCAAATCTCAACATCATCATAGCTATATTCTTGAATCTGATGAATTACAATATGATTCATTCTTTTTAAAAAAATATAAGCAGTGATCAACTGAATTTGAAGATCTTTCATTTCTTGAATTTCTTCAAAGCTTTTCTCACAGTTATCAAATTAAGAGATATCTCTGTATAAAACTCTGAGTGTTGATCTACTTTTCTATTTATCAGTTTAAAACTGATTCAGAGAACTATGCTCATGTCAAACTTCTTCTTCATCATTCTTTTCATCAAATTGAAGATCTCAAGATTGTTGATCTTCTCATCTCTTGACTCTCTTTTACAGAGATCTTTAATTATTGCTGTCTTTCTCATAATCACTCAGTTGATGCCTATGATGAAGACATGCTGAAACCAGAACCTGAGTTTGAAGATGGTCAGAATGATGAAGAGAAGCTTGATCTCTCTTAAGCATTGCTCATTCATCAAAATCCACAGTGTGATAATGATAATCTCATTGACATCTGAAACTGTGAACAGCTTGATCATCAGTTCTTAGATTTCAACTATGATTGAAGCTCTCATGTTGACACTTATATCAATCTTGACACAGAATTTTGAAATAATATGAAGACTGACTTCTCTGCAGACACTACTCTTCATGAACATGACTCACTCAAGACTCTAGACTCTGATCAACACCTTCTTCATGACACTATTCTCTATTATTATACTGAGATTCTTAACAGCAGATTTGTGAATCCTTTGCTAATTAATCTAGATGATGAAGATGACACTGATAAAACTTATCTGATTATGATTTTATCTACAACTCTTCAAAATCTTGCAGAGGCTCAAGATCTCTCAATCTCAATTATTCAAGCCATGTCAACTGATGTAGCTGCTCACTTCATTAACACTCAAACCTTGCATGCGTTATTTCAGCTTCTCATACACAAGAACATGTTATATGAACTGCTCAATTCTCAAAATCTTCAATCTTTACAGGCTCTTTTTAAGGATGTTCACTATCTGTTAATTGATGAAAAGTCAATGATTAATTTATAACAACTCTCATGAATCAATCAGGTCTGTCATTACATATTTTCTCACAAGAATGCTTATTTTGATGATCTCAGTGTCATTCTCAGTGAAGATTTCTATCAGCTCTCATCTGTTTTTCAAACTTCACTCTATCATAACAGGTGTATTGATTATAAAGAAGACATTCAGAGTCATTAAATCTACTTGACTTTTAGTAAAATCATTCAACTTACTGTGATTCAATGATAAGTGAGTGAAGATGTCATCAGCTGTCAGTTTCATGAGACCTTGAAAAATCTTCATCTTGGTCAGTTAACTCTGAATGATTGAGAGTTTCTTTCAAAGCATGTGCAGGCTCTTATCCCTCATGAAGCCCTGGTCTTTGAGAATATAATTCACATTTATACAAAGAAGCACTATGTTCATGTCTATAATAATGATGCTATTTGAAGCTGTAAACAACCTATTATTAATATTCAGATCATAAATGTTGATATAGACACTTCTCAGTTAGATTCTGACAAGGCTGATAATCTTCATCAGAATCTTTCTCTCTTTATCAGCTGCTGAATCATGCTTCTACAGAATATTTGAATAGACTGTGACCTTATTAACAGTGCTCTTGAGATTCTTCATGACATTGTATGAAGTTCAGATATGAAGAATCTCTGTCAAGATTCTTCATTTACACTGCTAATCAATTTTGACAAATATGACAGCTCTGCTTATTTGAAATGAAAGAGTCTTAAACTTGTGCCTATCTTCTGCAGCTGTCATGACTTTTCTCATGTTAATCAAGCCTGCAGCTGCATGCAGTTCTCTATTACAGTTGCATATATCATTACTGTTTATAAATTCCAAGAATTATCACTTGATCAGACTGTTCTTGATATTTCTGAGACTGAATTCCAGACTGGTCTCACATATGTTGCAGTTTCACAGGTTAAAACATATCAAGGTCTTCTGTTCAAACAACTCTTTGATTATTCCAGATTTCACTGGCCTGATGATGGAGTAAGCAGAAGCATGCAGATGTGTGAGATTGATTATATAAGATATCAAAGTTAACAGGTAACTAAGTTATATCTCTTTTCTTTTTATAGGTCTCTGCTAATCTATATTCTATATAGCTTCATCTGCTCTTTATTTCACCTTTTTCACAGTTCACATTTGATCTGCTCATTTGCTCATTCTTCATTGCTGCAAGTTCTTCATTCTCTGTTCTATCATTCTCTCTGCCTGTTCTGCTCACAGATTCACTGAATTCAATCATTGAATTTGACAAACCTATTACAGTCAATTCTATTATAATCACTGAACCTGAGAATGAGTAGTTAGTAATCTATAGAAGATATTGAAACAATTCAGATATTGATCTATACAGCTCAGATTTAATATAATGATATCTTTGATCTGAGAGATTGAGAATCTTCTGAGACCTGTGTTATTGAGGCCTGTGTTGCATTATGTGATAAGAGATATTGAATTCTTACAGCTGTCAACACATGTATGAGAGAAAGTGAATGAATCTCAGAGTATTCTCTTTCTCTTTGAAGAATTCATCTTATCTCTCATCTCTCACCTCTGCCAGCTGTTTTTTTTTTTTTCAGAAATCATGTCATTTATCTCTATTAATTCATCAGAAGTTCAAAAAATCATCAATACTGTTATTATGACTGAAAACAACACCTTGAAACATGTTCATTGTAAGTAAGATTCTCAAAATAATGAAAATTGCAATTCTAACAGTCAGCACAGTCCTCAACAACCTTGTTCAGCCTGTCAAGCTGTCAGTCATCAACCTCATTCCCAGTTCTGCGCCTGCGCCTGCGCCTGCGCCTGCCTCTGCTGCGTCTGTCGGTTCTAGACCATCAAGTCAACTGTTGACTTGTTTGGCTGAAAGAATGCCTGAGAAGCTGTCAAAGAAGCTACAGACTCTCATCAAATTGTCCTGTGCTTGTGAGCCAGTCTTGCAGAAGAGTCATCAGATCAATACAAAAATCAATACAAATCATGAAGTTCTTCACCTACAATTCTGTGATGCTGTTTTTGCGGTTTTCTGCAGTCACTGTGTCAGAGAAGAAGGCTCTTTTACCATCTGCATCAGTATTCTGAATTGATGCCATGAAGCTTGTGCCAGTTGTCATTACAATGACACTGGAAGTCACTGCTCTTATCATAGAAGTGAGTCACTTTTCAATATGAAATATATCAATTCTAATACAATTAACTAATAGTTATACATAGTCAATATCAGCAAGGAGAATGATAAAGTAAAAGAAAAGAAACAGAAGAATGAAAAGAGAAAGAAAGTCAAGAAGAAGAGTTCATTCAAGAAACACTCTGTGACTGAGAATACAGAGGCTAGAGCCTTGAAAAAACAGATAACAAGTGTTGAGTCAGTTGATAGTCATGATATTGAGATTTTAACTCTTCATGTTGAAAATGAGGCTCTGTGCAAGGAGAATGCAGCTCTGAAGATCAAATTCAGAACTATTACAAGCCTTCTTCAGGTCACTCAAACTGTTCTTGAGAATGACATATGAGTCAGCGGGGCAGAGTGAGGTGTTTTTTATTTTTTTCCTTGCTTAGTTAGCTGGTGCTTTTGCACTGAAAAATGAATCTCTATATGTTTTTACAGTTCTATCTCTTCTATTATTATTAATAATAAGCTGTAAAATCAATCTTGCAGGGCCTTCTGTTTTAAGCTTAGCTCTGCAACATCTTTGCATAAAGAGGCTCGTGTGTATTAAGATATTTTAGAAAGTAGTTATACAGGCTTCTTCTCTCTCTTTTCTCTCTTCTCTCACAGAGAATTGAGAGACTCTTCAGTTAATCTCTTTATAACACTCAGTTTAAGCATTCTGTGAAGCTTTTCTATCTTCTCTAGTCTCTCTGTATCTGTCACTCTGATTTTCTTAATATAGTCTGATCTGTGAGAGAGTCTGTCTGCTGAGTTCTTAGTTTTCTTAATATATTCTATCTTGAATCAGAACTCACTCAGTCTCTGAGGTCAGTAAACCTGTCACTGTGAGAGTTTCTTAATTGAAGTAAACTGTTATAAGCTGTTATAATCAGTTCTAATAGTAATCACTGTTATAAGATTCTCAAAGTAGTGATATTAGTAACAGAAGAATTTCACTATTGTAAGAAGCTTCTAATTATAAATATTATAGTTGATCTTCATGAGTTATATCTTCTGTGAGAAAAAGATCACTGAAACTCAGTTCTCATTTGACTGTAGTTATAAGACTATTTCTGAAATTATAAAGAAGAAGACATCTATCTTCAATCTGATTAAGAGTAAGAAATCAAAGTGAAACAGTATCACTGTGTCTGTGAATATCTGTTTTAATCTTGTAAAGACTCTGTGAGCTTCTGAGATAAGAAAGTTCTCACAGTTCTCTCTTCTTAACAATCTTTTCATTCTCTATTCATAGAATAACTTCCTCTTATTTTCACTCTTCAGCATGTCTATAAGAGTTAAGAAGATTCTCATGAATATAAAGATAAATCATCTATAGAAATTCACAAAGCTCAGAAAGATCTGAATCTCATGAATACTAGTTAACTTCAGTCATGATAGAATAGTCTTAACTCACAAAGATTTCATCTGAATATCATCTGCAGTAATTACATATTCTAGAAAATTAATCTGACAGACACTGAAGTTGCACTTTATAAGCTTAATATACAGTTCTGTCTCATCTAAGATCTTTAACACACTTCATACATACTCAGTGTGTTCTTTCTTCTTCACAGAGTATACTATCACATTATTCAGATATATTATTATAAAGACATTCAGATATACATGAAGTGTTTTATTAATAAAAGACTAAAATGTTACAGAAGTATTAGTCAGATCAAAAGACATTACTAGATATTTAAACAATCTCAGTACAGTTCTAAAGACAGTCTTTTATTCATTCTCAGACTGTATTCACAGTCATGTATATATATTGATTATATTCAGTTATATGAATATAACAGCTTTCATGAGATGATTGATTACATTCTCAATCAGAGACAGAGAGTAGTGACTCTTTATTATCTTAAAGTTCAGATTATAGTAATCTACATATAATCTGAGATCTTTATTCTTCTTCTTTATAAACATCACAGAGGCTTCTGCAGAGACCTGTGAAGATTAAATGAAGTTATTCTTCAGATTCTTCTTTACATAGGTTCATAAGACCTCTGTCTCATAATGAAAGAGCTTATAGATTAATTCTCAGAAGAGTTTCTACTCTTCTATTAAATCTATTATCAGATTCTTCTTACAGTGAGAGAGAAGCTCAGCTGCTTTTACTGAGCTGAATATCTCTGCAAGATCTTGATATTTCTCTGATATCTGAAGCTCAGTTTCTATAACTGTGAGATTCTCAGATACTTATAAAGTCATTATATAGATGAGCTTGTCTTCTCTAATCAACTCTACAGTATCAACTGATTCTATCTTTATAAGTGAGTCTGTCAACACTGATCAGAAGTATAAACCTGACTTGTAAACAGCTATGTGTAAATTGTGTCTTTGAAGTTATATAAGTCTCAAGTACATGTTATCTGTAATGTCTGTGATAATCATAGTTTCTATAAATCTTCTTCAGATTTCAGAGAGATCTTACAATTCAAAGATAACTCTTGTAAGTTTCTCAGTTCTCAGGTCTGAGTTCTCATACTCTGCTTATTATAAGAGCAGATTCTCAGTCTTTATCTTTCAGCTCATTTACTCTGTGAGCTTTAGAGATATCACAGTAATCTGAAATTCTGAGTTCATTAATACTTCTCATGCTTGCAGAGCAGCAGTACTGTGATACAGTCTCTCTTCATAAGTAAGCATTTTCATCAGAGAAGTAACAGATTCAGATATTAGCTTCAAGACTCTTAAGAAGGCTGTTACTAACTCTGTCTGTGACTTCTCAAATTTCTATTTTAATTTATTCAGACAGTTTGCATAGAGATGTTTTAATTTAGAATAGATGAAGTAAAGTCTCTTTTTCTTAATCTCTCTGTTATACACTCTGTTTATAGAAGCTTGTGAAGCTCTCTCTCTTTACTCAGCAGTCAGATATAAATCTCTCTGTATCTTATCATCTTTTTCTGATAAATCTATTCTCTGTTGTTCTGACTCTTACAGAGCTAGTTAATAATTCACTCTTCATAAGTCTATGACTCTCACAGTGATCTGTAAGTAGTGAATAAGAGTCATCAGTTTCTTCAGAGTTAAGAACTTAGAGTCTTACTCAATGAGCTTGTTCTATATATCTTTATTCAGTCTCTTTACAAATATTATCATTCAGATCTTATTTCAGAGCCCTGTTTTCACAGATCTCAATTTATATCATAATTTCATAAAGTACTATGAGTAGTCTTCATCAGATTTCTCATCTCTTTTTCTAATATTAATGATCACAGCTTAGATATTCTCTGTTCAGCTCACAGAGTTTCTTAACTTATTCTCTAGATAGATCTTAAGAACAGATCAGTGAGATCTCTTATAATCATTCTCTAGATAATTCAGCCAGTTCTTGACTTCAGTGTAATAGAGGTCTGTCATTGTATAAATAACAGCTTCTTTATCTTTTATATCACACAGTCAGGCTTGTAAGTTAATTTCAAATACAAACTTATAAAAGCTTTTATAGATTGTGATTTGATAAGTAATCTTAAGTAATTATAACTTAAGAAAGTTTCTTTTCAGTTTATAGATATCTCTGAAGATTATGTCTAGAGACTCAGTTCAAGAGTGTTTACAGACAGTAAGCATTTCTTATAGAAAAATAGCTTGATTTCATAGAAGATGCTTAAGAATGTTCTTCACTGAGATTGATTTATTTGTGAGTTTGAAGAGTTTCTCTATCACAGATACAGAGAATGATGTTCTGTGAGTGATTGATAAGTTCTCTGAGACTTCTTTTATAGAGATTATTCATGATTCAGATGACTGCTTCTGAGTGTCTGCAGTAGAGTTTGCAGAGATTGAAGTATATAAGTTTCTAGTTCTTTCAGTCATAACAGGCAATTACTGACTGACTCAGCTTGAAATGTAAGAATAAGTACTCACAGGTGATTATTCAGGTGTTTACAGCTTGATGTGATATATACTGTTAACTACTAGAAGTATTTGTGATAGAAAGATAAAATGTAGAGATTAATTATATAATAGCATTCAAGCTGAGTTGTGAATAGTATTCATGAACTTCAGTCTATATAGTTGTGTGTAGCCAAGAGCCGCTAGCTCTATTGATTACATGAGAGATAGAAATAGAGGTAAAGAATCCGCGAGGAGTGGGATTTCTTACACACAGCTTTATAACAGCATAGCAGTTCAACTCATTATATTAATAAAATGATGAGAATTCTTTCAATTTTAATGTAAGATTTGAAGAATATTGAGAGAAATTAACTGATGATTTGAATCAATTAAAAACACAGCTTTATCTTATAAAGCTGACTCACAAGGTGTGAATAATAATATTATAATATCAGAGTTCATTAATCAATTACACTGAGCTTATCAATCTAGCTTTCTGAATCTATTTAAATAATCAATTCTCTGAGAAAAAGATCAATAAGATCTCTTTTAAATAATTAATAATAGAATCTAAACAGTGCTGTGACAGCTTTAGTGCAGAGAAAGTAAAGAAGAATTCTAAGTATTCTGATTCTTCACTTACTGTGAAGAAATGTTAAAAAAGATTTAACAAAGATCTCTATTTCAACTGCAGAGCTGATAAACACTATATCAGTGATTGTAAGAAGCTGAAGAAGAGAAAGAATTAAGAAGACATCTTCTTAAAGTTAACTTCTCTTCTGACAAATGTATCTGCAGAAGATAATGAAGAGAAAGAAATGAAGAATTGATAATTCTCACATCTTCAAGTTCATATTACAATCACAATGCATACTCTGAATGAGAAGGTATTAGTGAGATGCCTACTCAACTTCAGAATAGATACTAACTTCATATTCTATTTCTTTTCTTTAATAAAGAATTAAAAGAAGATAGATCTGTCAGATCATGCAAAATTTACTGATGAAATGAAATGTTATTATTTTAACATAATTTAAGCAAAGTGTGTGATCACAGACTCAGAAGAAATCTTTAAAAAGAGCAGTCTGCTTCTTCACACAGTCAATATCATAGATGAGAATGTTATTCTAAATCTTCTATAATTGAGAGAAAACAATTCTCTCATTGACTGAGTCACTCAGATGTGACAGTACTGTCTCACTAATGAAGAGACAGTGATAGAGAAATCTGAAGAGTTTCATCAGAAGAATCTTGAGAAAAAGATTCAGTTGATATACTGTATAGTAGATGATTGAGACTTGAAGATAGATGAAGAAGTTATCACTCTCACTGTAAGATTAGCAGCAGTATTTATCATTAAAGACAGACATACACAATATCTCTTTACAGATTTTAAGAATGTCTTTTCAGAAAGAGAAGCAGTGAAGTTTTCTGATACTAAGATATAATATAAGATTTGTCTTAAAGACAGTATAATGACACTGTACAGGTCTCTTTACAACTTATCTA